TGGGCTTAGGGGTTAGAGTTACAAGTTGAAGCTGACGGCAACCCTTCGTTGCTCAGATGGATTCCGGAGTGGGTTCTTCACCGGGCGCTCAAAACCCCGTGACACACGGACGGGTGTCCGAATTCACTACAGCCCTCGGTACTCCATGCTGCCCGGAGCTTCTGTTGCTGCTTGGATTCTCAAGCCTTCAGGTCCTGGCTGATGAGATCCACGTCCGAGTTGCGAAGGTCGGACAGAACCTCCAAATCGATCCCAGACTTGCTTGCGGTCGTAGCGACCGCAGCGATATGGCAGACAAAGCGCTGACCCGCGGCTCTCACACCACAAAGGCCGCAAGCGTGCACCGAGGCAAGGGACATGCAGGACTGTCTCTTGTGTGCTGCATCACTGCCTGCCTGGCCATGTCACCGAAGAACTGCCTGCTTTGCTTGCTGGCTAAGATTGGAAGTTAGCTTGGAAGTACGAGAAGGGTTTTGATCGATCCTAGTCCTGGCCTGACAGAGGCATGTCCTGACACAGTGAGAGGGGCGTGTCCCGGCATGACGAGTGCGGATTGAAACTAAACTGCGTCACTGCACAGATTCACCCGCAGCGTGAATGCACGGAGTTGTGTGCCTGCCAATCTCATGGTGAACCTTGCGGTGCCAACGATGACATGGAGACGAATGCCCTGCAGTTCAGAGCCCACCGGTGCTCACGGAAAAGTATCCGACGGCAGGTCGTGGTCGAGCCCGTTCTTGGCACCCGGAACACGTCTGTCGCAGCCGCAAGATCCCTAGAATTCGAGGTACAAAGCACGGAGTCGAGCAGCTGCATGACTGCAACCCCAACGTGAAGGGGCAGGTGCAAACGCGCCTGCTGCGCACATAAAGCGGTTGATTTCACACAGTGACTAGGCTCTGGCCCCTTTGTGGTGCAGGATCGAACTGAGCATGGCCTCATAACCTCTCGGTGAGAATGGACATGAAACAAAAATGCCGGGGCAATAGCATACGACTGGCATCATCAACACCAAGCTTTTTGTACCTGAGACAAAGCATGCTGCCGCATGACCTTTAAGGTCAGCAAGACCCACTCAACTCAATAAGCACCAACAAGACTTAACGAACACTAAAAAGCCTTATTGAACAAACATCTTCTGGGGGGCGCCCTGTGGGGTCCCCCCTGAAAGCCTCTATGACCTTAGCCTGACTGGCGCAGCCGCGCACATATCAAGTCTTCCGGAACAGCAGGTGGAGATCCAGGAAATTTTTGAACGAAAGCACAGTCCTTTCTCGGGCACAACCGGAACCAACACAAGCCCGATGTGAGAAACATTGTGAGCCATCAGACGGAAGAGCGCAGGCTTCCCAGCTAACGGAGTCGCCTTGCAGGCCGGTGAGGGTAAGCTAATCCCTGTCTAGTCAACATTTTCTCCAGTCCCGTATCTCCTAAACCTCTGAATAAGCCGCTTGCGCTTGTCCCCGGCCAAGTTCGGCTTGACTCCGCTTTGACAGGGCCATAGTGCGGCAGCCCTGCGTCGAGAAACGATCAACTAGACCGACAGTTCTCGACTGAGATGTGCTGGCACCTTTTGAAGTTCGTGCAGAATGTTTGGGAGGCTTTCTGCTACTACTTCCTTTGCACTGCACGAAACAACAGATGCTACAAGGGAAATCCAACTCCTGCGAATGTGCTGGCTGTGCTAACCTCGACGTCGGCAGCCCCTGCTGCCGGCACAGATGCCAACGCCACACACGCGGTCATCTGCTCTGGGCTCCTTGCAAGCATGCTCCGTGTTTGCCCAGCAGAACCACCCCAGGAGACGAGGGATGATCGATGAAAACTCACATCTCAACTTGGAGGCAGACACTGCCCTGTTGCTTCACTTGGTGGTGCGGTATTTCAACCGAGCCGACAGTCTCAAGAAGTGTTGGTGGAAACTCCAGCAAAGCGGCATGGCCGGAAGCCCAGCAGACGTCTGGTGGCTGCTGGGGACTTCGGACAATCGGATTGCAATGGAGAGAAACTCCCCAGAGGAATCTTCTGAGGCTCTCCGAGGCCACATCTCTCTGGCCTAAGCGACTTTACACTAACTGCGGGATGTTGGTGATGGTTTGCATGCCTTCGAAGACTGGCCACTTTTTGTGGACCAACAGTGATTGGAACATGACACGAGGAAAGCTACATCAAGGGCGAGAGATGATGGCATGGACTAGGCTATGACTACGGATCTGCACCCCAGCGCTGCCATGTGCGGAGACCACGCAAAGCACGTCGTCAAACCTCGAGATCTACTCAACTTCGGGCCAGATGGGCCAGGCGCTAACCCCATCCCAGCCATCCGGGCCGTGGAGACAGGTGTGGCAAGCCTGCACCACATGGGCAGCAGCACGAGGCCTGTCTAACAGGAGGTCACGGCACCTCCAGGGCAGACATGAGCAGACCTCGGGCGACTTACAGCCTCAAGTTGGCTTCGTGCAGCGATGCGCAGCTTGAGGCTGTACCTTCATCGCACAATGCCTCGATCTTTCCGGCCACGGTAGGCAGGGGACAGTGGGAAAGGATTTTTGGCACCGAGAGGTCAGAGGCGCCTGAGCTGTGCGGAGGGTGTTTGCTGGATGCCGCGAGAGAGAGCAGAACAGCGCTATGGGTTGGCGGTGCAGGCGGCACAAATTCGACGTCTTCTGTGGATGAGACTGAGATGCAGGGCGAGTCCAGCTGAGTAGGTGCGATCTCGCAGCGGGGATCTGGACCTGGGGATGCGTCCCCGTAGTCAAAGGTGGCAGGCAGTGCAGGTGCCAGCGAGGCATCATCAGCTTCGACCGATTGAGGCGCGGGGCCCTTGGCAGCAGTATTGCTGCACCGCGTCAGCTGCGACTGTACTCTGGCTGCATGGCCCTGCTGTGGGAATGCTGTGGTTGCGTAATTCCCCATGCAGTTGCGCAACAGCAAGCAAGTCTAGCAGCGTGGGCATCAAGAAGGAAGCGCGTTTGCAGTGCGCCATTGGCCAAGCAAGGCATTCCCTCCAGGGATGGGGTTCCCAGGACCATGCCCGTCGCAGCAGCTGCCCACAGAGCAAAAAAACATTCACGAAGTCCTTAGAAAATCACGACCCACCGAAACAAAAAAAATGTCTGAGTTCTAGACTGAGTGGGATCTGTCTGTTGAAGGCACGGAGTTCCAAAGATTGGCCAGGCCGGGAGTTATTCCACAATGAAACAGATTTCCCTCAGTACATTGCAAATTTCGGGATCATTCGATACCATATCTTTGAGATCTTTGAGTGAGCTGTCCCCTCTTTTCCACGACGAAGCGAAGCTTTCATTCTTTGCACCTTTTTAGCTTCGGCCTGAGATCAATACATGCTTCATCAACCCTCCACATTTCGTTCATTCCGTTGCGCCCTTGCGGAGTTCATCCCCCAAATGTCCTAAAGTCCTAAAGTCTTAGGATCAGCAGCGCATCATCACCAAAATATGCGGCCAAGTTGGTGACTGAAGTTTAGCTAACATGGTGTAACGGCTTTGGGCCACCAAAACAGCATTCCTGGACAAAACCCAGCAAGAAAGGACATGCTTCGGCAGCCAAGATACGCCATGCGCTCTCCGACCCAAGTGCGGGCATGATTGGAAATCAAACGTGCTCCCTTCGTGGGCATGACGTTGAGCAATGAGCGGGCGGAGCCGCATCATTTCTGGCGGAGACCGGGCATCCTGTCAAGGCAAGCTCCAAAAATCGGAAAACACACCGAAACACCAGGCCCGCGCCTGAAGTGAACCTCGCTTGTGGAATTGGTTCTTCCAGCACCAGTCGGCAGGCCGAGCACGTCCTGCCAGGAATGCGTTTGGCAAAGTACGGTAGCTGAAGGCCTACGGGCAAGCCACATGGGGTCCAGCCACTTTGTCCGGCGCGCAATGCCGCAGGCACGAGATCGCAAAAGAAGTGCGCACTTGATCTCAATAACCTGACAGCGGTTTTCGACCTTTAGAAAAATGTCAAACTGAAGTATTGACTATTGAATCGGGGTACGTGCATGTTACGTACAAGCCTGAGCAACTTAGTCCTATTACTTAGCATGTCACCTGAGACAAGCCACCACACTCCACAGAACATTACCTCACTTTGGAGAACAGCGAATGAGAAGAACGATAACACAGCACCGCTAGCATTCCTCTTCAAACCTCTTGCACTTGCGGCTGCACGGCTGCGGTGAACAAAACTGATTTTCTCCTCCATACTCGCATTCCTCAGGCAGGCATCATTATCTAGTGAATCGAATGAACCTGTTCGATTGCTGCCGTGGCCAGTCAAACTTCCTGTTCCACACTGTAAGCTGTTTGTTTCTTCACACGTACTCATACTCCAAATCTTGCTTGTTTTACTGGTTACAACAATTTAGCAAATTCAGTAGCCCAAAACTCCTAGACCTGGCTTCACACGTGTTACTGCCTCTGCTGCTGCTGTGAACAGCAGCAACAACAAAAAAACAATCCAGCTACATCTACAACTACAACTAAAACCACGGCAACAATATGCAGCAATCACTACCACTCGTTATGAAAGCGGCGGGCTTGTACACTTCTTTTTGGAGCAGCGCTTTCAAACATGGCGTCCAGGTTCGACAGCTTGTCGAGAAGGGAAGCGAGGCACGATGCAACACTCCCAACAAAGAAAACGAATGCACGGTGAATGCCATGGACCATGCACAGTACGTTTGCACGTCTATCGCATTAAATCATCTTGTGGCCTCCCTTGCACTCGACTCGCTGGCAGGTCAGCCTACATTCTCTCTGCAGACGGGCTCGTGGGCAGCGATCCGTCGGGATTCGAACCAAAAGAGCAAAAGCATGTCCAAGACAAGGATTTGCATGTGAGTGATGACTGTGCTCTCTACCCCACTTGTCAGAAAGCTGTGTGACGAGGTACCCGGCAAGCTCCTCTTCGTGCTTCTCTTCCGCAATGCGAAAGGCTCGGAAACCACATGGCTCCCTCTCACAGCGTGCTGCTACATGCTACGGTCAAGCACTTCTCGGACCACGCATTTGTTGCCTGAGCTGTTTGCGAGGCGTTTCTTGTGGAACAAGACTTCCGAAAGAACTGCATGCAAGGAACAGTTTGGCCCGATATCTCTGCTTGAGCTGGTGCTGAATAGCTCCTGCGGGTTGTGTTGCGCCAGGGGCATTGTTGCATTGTCAAAAACAACTCGTGGCCTGGGCTGCAGCACAGCTATCAGCTATCCCCGTCTGTCCCCGAGCCTTTCATTGCGCCAGCTTTGTCCTTGTCGACCGGGCCAGTCTTCCCCTGGTGCAAAGCCGAGCATGTTCAGTCGTTGGGCTTGGTGCCGAAAAGCTGCCCTTTGGCATCCTCACTCTTCTTTCCAATCGAAGACATGTCTTGTTTGACCTGCCGTGCAAGCACTCGAAGCTCAATGCAGTTCACACCTCATGCCGGATCCCAGCTCGCACTGCAACCATCGGAACGAGCCTGATTGTTCAGCTCTGCCTTCCATGACAAATGCTTGGTAGCATTTGACAGCACCGCTGCCGGCAGACAGCTTCACGAAACTACGCTGTCAAAATGAACATTTTTTGCGAGAAACCTTGTGAAACACCATTCTCAAACATCGGCAACATAACAATGCCATCAAATTCTTAATTATGGCCTCCCAAACCTCAACCTGCATCTCGCTGCGACTTTTTTGGCGTGAAATCACTCCGCACGGTGTTGTCATATCAATAATCACGCACACTTCGACACAACAGCGCACCATGAACACGTCCAGGGGATCTTCTTGTCCAAAGCGCGACCTGTGGCCACGGTGCCCATGCCATCCCATCCCGCCCCATCAAGTCACTGGGGCTTGCCCACATCTGGATGAAGCACTGCCTCTGCGCATCAGATGACGAACTGGCCGAAGACGCGGTACTGTTTTGGTAACTTTTGTTCCTGAATTCAACGTTGAGCTAGCACCGTTGGCATGCTGCACAATTTGAGTCCGCAGCAGCTGCGTGGAGCCGAATCCCTGTAGCGCAGACAATCGATCATGTTTCAACGCCTCTGTGACGTCGACATGCACTATGCGATCTCATCCCGACCTCGTGCTTTGACGCCATCACGGCTGCGGCCAAACGTTCATTAGCACTCTGATCCGAAATGCATCTGCTTGGCTTGGCTGCGTGTGCAGCGAAACACATGTCATTCGAAGGTTTTGCTTCGAACGAAACAATGAATTGCATGTAGCATGACAATATTAGTTTTACCTATCGTCCTTGTTGCAAAACTTGTGTTCGGCCATGATGCACAGTCAAACCGCAGCCTTCTTTGTAAGTTTTGCCATACCCATGATCCGGGCATTGCAACACGTTTACCGCACAACCTGCTCGTCGACTCATGGTTGCGTTATTTGACCATGTCTCTTGCTGCATTTGTTCAAAAAATCAATGGTCTCATTTCGGATGGGCGTTTCGCCTCGTTAGGAGTGCCACAAAATCGTGTCGAAGGTACTACTTCTTGGGAGTCTGGCTCCGGATTAACTCTCAGCAAGGGGCCTTCTCACGGCGCCCCCGCCTCCTGTGCGGTGTTTTATTTCATGTTGCCAATCGCACTCTAACTTTTCATGGCGATGCATCCTCGGCGGCGGGAGGCCTGCTCCCAATATTTCGCGACTGGACGTCAGATGACATCAACGACTTGCATGCGCCGCTCGACAATAATCGTGCAACCCAGTTAGACCCTGCGTCGCAAGCTGACCCTGACTCACTCAGCTCCGCCTGCTCAGCGATTAATGAAGCTGCTCCTCCCATGAGTTGCCCGGCCGAAGGTGCTTCTGGCCCGAATTCCCACCAGGCACCCGCGTCTCTTGCGAATGTTGTCGACAGAACTTTTGGATGTGACACCCCCCCATGCGCAAGCCATCCAGGATTTGCAATCCCAGGTGCTGCATTTAAGCACAATGCTCACAAGTGTTATGCATTTGATTGATGCACGCCTTCCCCAAGTGTGTTGCGAGACAGATGTTCGGCGGCACCCGCCACCACCACCTGCACCGCCAGCGGTTGATCAACCGAGAAACCCCCCCAATGCTTTCCCACCTCCCCCGCCCCCTCCTCCTTGCCCTCCTCGATCAGCCCCACGGCGCATCCCACCACGCCCGCCGGATCCGCCAGCTCCGAGGAACCATGCTCAGGAATATTCACGTGAGCCTTTGCGGCGTCAGAGGCGCAACGGGCGTGTGCATGTTCATGGCCCTAGCCATCCCGGTGGTCATTGCAGAAGTTGTGGGAATGTCGCACCGAATGATTG